ATTAATTGGAGCATTGTCTGAATCATTAGTTTAGTTTTTATGGTCGTAAAATTCAGTTGATTGTATTCCTTAAGCTAGACACTGTGTTTTTGCACAATATTGTACACAGTGCAGTGACCTTGTGGATGAACAGCAGCCCTGGCATTGAGGTTGCTGCCAACTGTTCTTTTAAATGCCTTTTGGCATCAAGCACTGAAAAAGTGTCATTGTTCTAGAATGTGTCTTCAGCAACAAAAACGTGATGCTTTTCCTCACCTTTTTGTAGCTGTTACAAAAATAACATCTAGCAAAATGTATTGTGTATAGATACACAGAGTGGTTAGGGGTATTGGAAGGAGTATAGTTGCTCCTGAATCACTCATCGGCCCAGGTAACTTGTCCCGTGTAGTGTTTCTAAGACCTAAGGTATGGACCTACATTAACCATACTTCCAGTTTGAAGACACAGCTTAAAGTGAAATAGTTTATTCCAGTTTCTCTTCAGGGAAAGACTTTTGTCGGGCAGAATCCACGCTCTATTCATCTAGAATGTGTCATGATGAAAGGAGTCTACAAGAACTTCTCTGTAACTTGAAACTCACTGTCAGACACGCTTCTGGATTTCTTTTATTTGCAAAAATTGGTTTAGGAAAGTTGTACACTTTTTCAGAGGCTATTTTTTTGCATTTCATTCAGTCTTTGCTAACTTATGTCGCATTCATTGCCCACAAAAAGTGATCTTGCATACCTTTAGTCATCCACACACTTAACTTGAAAGGGCAGAGGCCTCATATAAGCCAAACCTTGACTGCCGTTTCCTTTCAGCTTTGAAATTAGTGAGTATGAATGCATGTCTGCATTTAAGTTTTGTCTGACTATGTATTTTAACATACCTTATACACAGAACCAGTATTTCCAGATGGACCCTGACAACCTAAGTTATGTTGACTGAACACCTCATTCCAATGTACTCATATTTTTATTTGTCTTTGCTTGATAATTTTGTTAGGTGGGATTAGTTGTTTTCCTTACTTTTGAAGTCACTTTGTGTGCTAATGTAGAATCACAAAGTAGTATGGCAGAGGGGGGACTGAACATATCACATGGAAGAGCTGTTGCAAGGGTCTATAGATAGATCCTTCTTAAATATTTTGGTTTTACTAGTTGTCTGTGATCTGTTTGTGAGATTTCCTGTAACTATTCTCATGCATTTTAATAAAAGGATTTCAGCTGAGATTCTTGCTTGATGTTGAATCAAATAAATGATGTTCCCTGGGAAGATAAAGGTAAAGAGGAAACTTATAGTTTGCTTAGTATTTTGGGCAGTTAATTGTTTTGGAAACCTAAAATTAAATTATGTTTCTATTTTGGTTCTACTAGAAGTAATGAAATTTGTAAAATAGAATTTCTTGTTTCAAATATTAGCTTGCTTAGCTTGATTGTATAATATTGTTGATTTTGAGACAGTGGCTACTTAACTCTTAAAAAAAAGAAAAACCAAAACTTGAACTGAACCCAAAGGCTAATAGTATTCCTCTGTAAATAGCTGTCCTTCACATGCTGTACCAACAAAACCAAGAGATGGTTCGGTTTGAAAGACAAGAGGTAATGAAACAAAGATAAATAACATAACATTAAAAAGGTTTGATCATATTAAAGTTGTGCAGAAGAAAATGCATCCATGTACCATACAAATGAAGGTACAATAATCCTGCGATAATATGATGTAGCAGCATTGTGAAAAAATACCCATTTGGTGTGACCTCAAGTATCATAAATGAAAGCAGGCCAATAATGAAAGCTGTTTAATTTCTTTCACTTAGAAGCAGTTGTCATAGTTTGTGAGTATGAATTCACACTTGGTCAAGTTATTACTGAGAAACAGTTCTACAGCACCCACGCAGGGTGAACAGAGCAGATAGGGTGATGGTAACTGCATTCATCCAAGAGTCTAGAGTGCTGGACAAGTCCATAGAGAGGAATCAGATCTTAGCTCAAGCTTGAAAGCCATCTCAGTGTCAGGATGAGGCCCAGTGAAAGTAACCAGGTCAGCCAACAGTCCCGTGATGACTGCGCAAGTCCTTAGCGATGAGGTGCGTCTGACCAGCTTGGGCCAGTTTGGGCATCCTCAGGGTGGTGACAGGTTATTTTTTTAATAGACTAACCCAGCAGAAATAAATTTTGTATGACAAAGGCAAATTTCTAATGTAGCTGTCTCCTTGTGCTTTTTTCTTCTTTCTTTTTTAAATGTCATAAGATCGGAAATAGTTGTCATCTTGGGTGGTGATACAGTTACAAAGGTTCTGAAACAGCAGTCTCTTGAAATCCAGTGTAAATTTCATATAATCTGCAACAATTCAACACTTCTACAATAAAATATGTTGATTCTGGTTTTGGTTGTTATTTTTTAAAATTATTTTTTAGTATAAGTGTGTGATACTAAGAGAAGAAATTCTTTTTTGTTTTTTTTATTAAGTAGAGCTATGAATTTCGCAGACCTTTGTGGCTTGGCTGACAGACTGTAAAAGGTTTGAGGGCTGGTTAGTCATTCAAACATATGGAACAGTTACTTGTAAGTGACTGTAGAAACTGAGTTCTGTTATGAATTCTGTTGGTTTGGTTCATCTGATGTGTTCAGAGCTCTGAGCAGGTGGGGATATTTGATACTATAGAAATTAATGATAGGACTGAAAACTAATACGTATTTTTGTTTAAATGTGAATGGTGACCTTCAGGTAAAAGCCGAACCTCTACATGATATGCATGAAGATTTAAACAGAGTGGCCTATGTCTTACTCAGTTTTAGTGTGGAAGGACACAATCATGAAAACCTCAGATGTATGTATTGTTAATTATATGAGTAGTTTCTTTGGGTGGGATTATGTATGCAAACTGTGGTTACTTTCAAGTCGGTGGTCCAGAAAGGCTGCCATTCTTGTGTGGATGTCAGAGATGCTCTAAGATACCTAAATCAGCGTTAGGCACCTGACTTGCTCTCACTGAGGTCACAGGATTACTTGAGTCAGTAGAGCTAGATATATGTTAAGTATTTAAATTTACTGCAAAGGTAATTCCAGTTATAAATTGAATATTACGCTTAATCTGACTCATGTGAGCACAAATTAATCTAGCTGGTTTGGCGGGAAGTGCAGGCTGGAGGTTTTATGCTGAAGCTAATGATTCAGATGACTGCTACCTTGTTTGGCAGCAGAATCTATACGGTTAACATGTTGCTTCCTCAAGTGAAGTTAAAATGATAGAAATTTACAGGAAGAAAGATAATTGTTAATTATTTTGGAAGAATCAAGTGTTTCTGCAGTATTTGTACCTTAGCATTCAAAAGTTTGGTAGTGTGCCTATATGCATAACTGAGTTTTTGTTCTTTTGTATGACTATGAAATATACCCAGTTAAGTTGTCTGGCTTTAAAATAGCCAAGCACATAAAATATTTTTCTGACTTTATTACTTGGTTTCCCTTCATGGCTTCAAAATTTATAAATCTCTCTAAACCTTACATAATTTAATGCTGCACATCACAGTATTGGAAGTGCCCTTTAGCTGGGCTACATAGTAGTTAGCTTCAAGAGTACACTTCATCAGTGCTGTAACCTACACTGTAATCTATTAAAACTAAGGTGTTTTAATAGATACTTAGTATCAGTCAGAGTTGCATTTTCTTTCCAGATTTTTGTTGAAGTGTTAGCACATACAGCCATTAGTAGTATTATTGCACTATATGCTGAGATTCAACGTTACAAAGAGGAACACAATGTGTTTCAGAGCAGAGGAAGGACAAATACTTGAGACTAGCTATGAGATGGAGATTATGTTTTTAGATGTCCAGCTCTCCATTGCAGGGTGGGGCTGACTAGCCCTGACTTCTCTCCGACTATCTTCCCAGTGTTGAGGTAGTCAGAGAGCTGGATCTGGGGAAGGAAGAGGGCATGTGTGTTAAGGCACTCCATAGCCAAACAACTGCTCCACCACTCACCAGGGAAATACCTCGCACCCCCAAGTGCACCCTCAGGGTTTTTCAGTGGACAAGTGATGTCCCTCAGGGATCGGTGTTGGGACTGGTCTTGTTTAACATCTTTGTCGCTGACGTGGACAGTGGGATTGAGTGCGCCCTCAGCAAGTTTGCCGATGACACCAAGCTGTGTGGTTCGTATGATAGGCTGGAGGGAAGGAATGCCATCCAGAGGGACCTTGACATGCTTGTGAGGTGGGCTGATGCCAACCTCATGAGGTTTAACCATGCCAAGTGCAAGGTCCTACACCTGGGTCGGGGCAATCCCAGGCACAGCTACAGGTTGGGCAGGGAAGAGATTCAGAGCAGCCCTGCAGAGAAGGACTCGGGGGTGTTGGTTGATGAGAAAATGAACATGAGCCGGCTTCGGTGTGCGCCTTGCAGCCCAGAAAGCCAGCCGTATCCTGGGCTGCCTCAAAAGGAGCGTGACCAGCAGGTCGAACGAGGTGATCCTGCCCCTCTACTCTGCTCTCACGAGACCTCACCTGGAGTATTGTGTGCAGTTCTGGTGTCCTCAACATAAAAAGGACATGAAACTGTTGGAACAAGTCCAGAGAAGGCCCATGAGAATGATCAGGGGACTGGAGAACCTCCTGTATGAAGACAGGCTGAGGAAGTTGGGGCTGTTCAGCCTGGAGAAGAGAAGGCTGCATGGAGACCTCACAGCAGCCTTCCAGTATCTGAAGGGAGCCTATAGGGATGCTGGGGAGGGACTCTTCGTTAGAGACTGTAGTGACAGGGCAAGGGGTAATGGGTTAAAACTTCAACAGGGGAAGTTCAGATTGGATATAAGGAGGAAATTCGTTCCTGTTAGGGTGGTGAGGCACTGGAATAAATAGGTTGCCCAGGGAGGTTGTGAATGCTCCATCCCTGGCAGTGTTCAAGACCAGGTTGGATGAGGCCTTGGTTGATATGATTTAGCGTAAGGTGTCCCTGCCCACGGCAAGGGGGTTGGAACTAGATGATCTTAAGGTCCTTTCCAACCCTAATGATTCTATGATTCTATGGATGGGGTGTTAAAACAGCCAGATGGCAAAGTCTTCTTGATGTCTTCCAGGTTGCTAATGTCTGTCAGGATCTCTTCAGTGTCCCTGTTGTAAGCCTGTATTGCATCATCTTGCTTCCTGGCTTCTCTCTCAAGAAAAGACACTTTCTGGTCCCGGTCACTGTCTTTCGTCTGGTCTGTGGCACTGTTCAGGGTACCCTCAATTTCACTCAGTTTGTTCAAGTCCACCATCTCCAGTTGCCCTACCTGGTCCAGCAGGTCATTAATGACAGAAAGCAAGCTGCTCACAGGGCTCTTTGCTTTTCTTCCATTGTCTTCTGCCTCCTGGGCAGCCTGTGAGGCCATGCTTGCCATCATCATATCCTGCTCAGCATCATCCTGCTTCCGCTTCAGCTCTTTTTTTCTGCATTCTGTAGTTGCTTCATCATGTCATCCACTTCCCTGGCCAGCCCTGTCACATCAGCAAAAATCTTGTCAGCTTTGGCTTTGGTAGCAGCAGCTTTCTTCTGAACAGTGCCGGTGATTTTCTCAGCATCATCTGCTTTAGCCTTGGCTTCGCGGGCATCTGCAGCAGCATTACCAAGAGGCACCTCTGCCTGGCATGTTTTATTGTTGGCTTTTGGTAAATGTGTATCCCTGTGTTTGAAAGTCCCACCACCCATTGCTCTCAGTGTAGTTTTTAACAATTCATTGTACTGTTTGATTTTCCTAGAGGCTGGTGCATGGTAGGAGATGTGATATACCCACTCAGTGCCATACTCTGGCCCAAGTGTCTATAAGGTCATTCCAGAAATGAGTCCCATTGTCTGATTCAGTTCTCTCTGGGGTACTGTGTTGCCACAAGATTTGTTTCTCAAGGCCCAGGATAGTGTTCCAGGCAGTGGTGTGGGGCACAGAGTATGTTTCCAGGTGTCCGGTGGTTGCTGCCACCATGGTAAGCACATGGTACTTGCTGTGGTGGGTTGGTGGGAGTGTGATATAATCAATCTGCCAGTCCTCCCCGTATTTATACTTCAGGCATTGCCCTCCATACCAGAGAGGCTTTAACCATTTGGCTTGTTTAATTGCAGCACGTGTTTCACAGTCATGAATAACCTGGGCAGTAGTGTCCATTGTTAAGTCCACCCTTTGATCACGGGCCCGTCTATATGTTGCATCTCTGCCCTGGTGGCCTGAAGTGTCATGGGCCCACTGAGCCAAAAATAATTCACCCGTATGTTGCCAATCTAAGTCCATCTGAGCCACTTCAGTGTTAGCAGCTTTATCCACTTTTTGGTTGTCCTGGGTTCAGCAGTCACAGTCATTTTTATCCTTCTTAGAAACTGGTGCTGCTGTGCAGCAAACTGACTTGATTCACCCTCTCCTTCAGCAGTTTCTGCGACTTGTCGCTGGGGACTCCATACAGCTGCCTTCCACCTCCAATGCTTTCCCACAATACGGCAGGACCCATCAGTAAACAAGGCGTATTGCTTTTCACTTTCTGATGGTTTGTTATATGGTGGGACCTCTTCAGTATGCATCACCTCCTCCTCTGGTAACATTCCAAAATCTTTGCCCTCTGGCCAGTCCATGATGACTTCTAGAATTCCTGGATGACTGGAATTTCCTGTTCAAGCTTGTTGTGTAATTAGCGCAGCCCACTTGCTGCATGTAGCATCAGTTGCATGATGTGTAGAGGAGACCCTGCCTTTGAACATCCATCCCAGCGTGGGCAGCTGGGGTGCCAGGAGGAGCTGTGCTTCAGTGCCAGTCTCTTCTGAAGCAGCTCGAACCCCTTCATAGGCTGCCAGTATCTCTTTTTCAGTTGGGGTATAGCTGGCCTCAGATCCTCTGTATCCCTGACTCCAAAAGCCGAGGAGTCGACCTTGAGTCTCCCCTGCAGTTTTCTGCCAGAGTTCTCCAGGTGGGACCATTCTCCCCAGCTGCAGTGTACAGTATGTTTTTCACATCTGGCCCGGTCTGGACTGGTCCAAGGACTACTGCATGAATTATCTCTCGATGGGAAATAACATAATGAAAAACACAAGACTATATTTCTAGGGAGGTCTTGTTTTGTGTGGCCATAGGCTTTAAAAGCTTTAGGACGAATTTGGCCTTGTGAGCCTCTGAAGTTCTTTTTGGTTTCAGAGGCGGGGAATTGAATTGTCTTGCTCAGTGGCTCAGAACCCTTTTAGCTCTGCTACTGTGAGATACTGTGGTGTATAACAGGCATTGCTTGACAGCCAAGTGTAAGAAAGCCCAGCTGGCTACTTTTACACTATTTAACAGAATTTAACAATTCTGTTTGGTCAGTGCTAAAGTGAAAGTTTTTTGAGCATCATTCTGTGAGGGGAGTGGGAAATGGCTGATCAGCGAATGAGACGTTAAACTTCAAATTGTGAAAGAACTATTGTAGTGGTTACTCAGATTTTTATTTTTTTTTATTATTAGAAGTACTAAATAGTCTTTATTTTGCCTATGAGCCACTAGTTCCCATAGGTGTAAGCTTTGAGGACGGTATTTTGTAGTAGTGGTTTTTAGCAGTAGTTTAGAATGTATTGTAAGGTTTCCTTCACACTGTTAAATGTAAACTGTTTATACTGCTAGTGTGCTATTAGGATAGTGAAACATGAAATCTCAATTTACTTGCTTTTATGAAGTTTCTGTACCTTGACTTGTTCTTGGGCATGGGGTGATGAAAAAAGAAACAAAGCATGAAGAAGTGGCAAGGTTTGACACTGCATTAAAACATCAGTAGTTTCTTGAAACTTCCATGTGCAGCTTTCTGTGGCATGAAAAAGGAGGAAGTCTTTGGGGAATTTAGCTGTTTGATTTATATTGTTTACTGAACATGTGCAAATTGCAGTTTCAGAGGTTTAATCTGGTGGGATGTAGTGTTGTTATGATACTGACAAAACCATCCTTCATGTGCAGGCTTTTGTCTTTTTGAAGTGTCAGGTCCTGATCTAAAAAATTGAAACCTAACAGTTAACAGGGAGGAAAAAAAAAGCTATTTTTTAAAAAATTACTCATTGCTGTCCAAATACTTTTTCTTTTTCTTTCCCCCTCACCATTTTGTTCTTCAAAGGTAGGCTTTGTCAGAAATACCCTCCCAAAAATGCTCATGAGGACATATTGAAAGCAAAATATATTATACGGAGAGTTTCAACTGAAACAGCAATAGCTTTAATTCCTCTCCAGAACTCATTTATAGAAAGTGGAGTGGATAGTTTGATCAAGAAATCAAAAAACATACTTTTAGGCATTTTTTTATTGTGCATTTTTGCTTAATTTTCTGAGCCAGTTGTGTGATCTTAGGAAGTACTCAACAGTGAAGTACAACTCTTACCATTAAAAAAACAAACAAACAACAAAACCCAAAACCAAAGAACAAACTAAACCAACCAAGCAAACAAAACAACCCCAGACCTCAGGATGAATTCTTACTGAGAAGTGTACATTTGGTGTTACTCATATATAGAAAAGGCTAATATGAAGTGGGTATTGGGAATAAGTTGTGGTAATCAGTAGAGAGCTTAACTTGAGATGAAAAGTTTACCCTTTTCATAAAAGAAAACAAAGCCTTTTAGTGGGAGCGGTAGGGATAAGAAAGTTGGTTAAGATTGACTTTGCTAGATTTGTGGATCTGATCTCCTGACTTCCCCAGGGTGGATATACCAGTCTGGATTCACTCCTGGTAGACCTCTGGCTTCTGCTTCTATTCTGTATACAGTCAGAGTTATTTTAAGGAAGTTAAGAGGATAAGATTGGGGTTGTGCTTCTCTTGCTTTCTGGGAAGTTCCATCCAAGCACAAAAAGCAACAGGGAAAATGCCTAGCTAGGTGTTTATGGAACAGTAAATGCTGAAGATATTTGCAAAGTGAAGGCTGATTGATGTCAGTAACTGGTAAAGCAGTTAGGTCAGATAAACTTACTTGCGGGGATCTTGAAATAAAAAAGGATTCTATGGTGGCAGAGCTGAAGGGGGGTAAGCCAATGACTGATGAGGGAGGTAGTAGGATTGGTACAGTGAATTGACAATATAAAGAGACTTCATCTGCTAAGATGCTTTGTGATGAGAACTGTTTTCTCAGTTTGGATTTCAAGTACTCCACTCATTAAGAGTTCTTAACATAGAACTTAATACAGAACTGAGGCAAAAAACAAAGGTTTCTACAGTCATCTTCAGTAGATTAATCTTACGGAGCTACATAATTAATGCAGTATTTCCATGTTTTATTTTTCTGATTTCATTCACTACAAATGATTAAACGTCTTCTTTTTAAAATCCTTTTTTGCATTCATAGTATATTGTTTCTCCTTAGTCTCTTTTTCTTAGGACTAATCAGGTGTACCTGTTAGTATACTCAGATTTTTGGTGCTGCCCTGTAAATTCCATGGAACTCTGAAAAACCCCAAAACAGAAAAAAAAACAACCCCCCCAAAACCCCACACTTCTAAGTGCATCATTTCAATTTTATGCTTTTTCCAAGCAACAAGATTGTTGTATTTTTTTAAATGTGCGATACTCTGGGTACCCAAGTCTTAGAAGATACTTAGTTGTTGTTCTTACTTGCTCTTTCAATCAGTGTTAAAAATTTATCTTATTATCCTATTTCCTTATAGTTACCTTTTTTTTTCTTTTTTTTTTTAATTGTAAAAATATCTTACGAATTTTCCCCTGTTCCTTTTTCCAACAGGTTGTTTTTTCTATTTAGGCTATGTGATTTTTATTTGAAATTCTTGTTTTCAGTTGCTAATGTGTTGTAAAACCATTATAATCTCTATACAAATCAGTGTTTATAAACTCTGTTTCTTGACCTCTGCAATATGATGTTGCTTTTACTTCCCTACTAGTCATTGGGAGCAAACTGAGAAATACTGAAGTAAATATTCTGTGCAGAGCACTGGTGTCACCTAGTTCCACTTAGGGAAAAAACACAAGCACATATTATCATTGTTATATTTTTAGCCTTTTTTTTTTTCTCTCTTTCCTTACATGTTATTTGTGCAAATGATAAATGCTTTTGCCTTTTTGATAGAAGAAAAGGTGTACCTCAAAAGTGAGAAATTTTCAGCAACTTGGACAACAGTTTGGAGGGGGTGAGTCCTAGCTCACTACTTTCTCTTTGTTTATATCAGAACTAACAATGTAAACGTAGCGAAGGTGTTTTAAAGAATATTACTGGGTTCTGTATGCTATCAAAGCATGTCAGTCCTGGTGGAACAGTGCTGGACCTATGCTGGTGAACAGTAATAAAAAGAATTGCTATGGATGTATCTACTTGTCAGTCTTTAATTTGCTAATCTCTTGTGTATTAATGAAACCTGGTAGTTTATGGCTAGTTTTGGTCTCCTAGACAACAGAGGTCCCTGTTCCCTTTAATTTGTTTTTCAAAAAGCTGTAAAAACTTTCATAGAATGGATTCTTCTGCTCCATTTTAAACATTCTCACTTGTAATTAATTGTGTTTGAGCACCCTCTGTGATGATGACTGGGTATTCAGTTAATTTTATCTATGTTGGAGTGATGTGAGCATAATTTGTTAACTTGGCACAGGAGGCATTTTTAATAGTTCTGTAGATGTTCTTGGCAATGTGAGATAAAATGTGTTTTCTGGTTTTGGCTTGTTTCTGTACGGTTTTGGTGTTTTTTTTTTTCTTTTCCAACTGACTTTTTTTGTATTCTTGATGTTAATACTGAGGTGCTCTTGAACCTGACCCCTGGTGATTCTGAGTGCGATGCTAATCTTTGCTTTTCAGATTGACATGATAGGAGAGAGACTACAAGAAACAGTTAAAATGATAGTTTAGAAGGAAATCAGTTAATTTTTTTCTGGTTTCTTAAAACTCCAGTCTCCTGAACTAATTCAGATCTTGAAAATGTCATCTGAAGTGAATGTGTGTGCCTAAAATACGTCAATAGCTACAGTAGCTGGGCATGAATAATGGCCTGTTTTTAAATTCTGTTCTGAGGTTGCTATCACTAATAGTATTAAATAAAAAGATAAGAAACTCAGGGGGCTGAAGTGGCAGGAGTTTGGGTGAGATAAAGCTGGAGAAGGGTGTGTGAATTGCAGGGAGAGAACAAGGAGCTGGACAAGATGGGAATTACAGGGATCAGCACTTGAAGTA